TACATATTTTCAACATGATATTAACTGCTGTCAGCCTTCTCCACCAGCAATTTACTATTTTCTCCCTTTTCAGTCTGTATTCTTTAGAGGGAAATCACTATGTGTAGCCAACATTTAAGAAGTGGGGATGCACGCTCCCACTTGTTGAGGGAAGAGTACCTACATATATTATATGGAACTTTGCAGGAGAGATTTGTCTCTTCTCCCTCATTTATTTTTTCAGTCATTTATGAACTCACAATTATTTTATACTTTGGGTTATAATAACATCAAAATCATTCCGGTCTTATTTCTATAGCTCAGTATTATATCTTACCATTCAACAGTAGAAGTACCTGACCCTTTTTCCTTTTTTTGAGACAGGCTGGAGTGCAGTGGTGCAAACACAGCTCACTGCCTACCAGGCTCAAGCAATGCTTAGCTTCCCAAGTAGCTGGGACTACAGGCATGTGCCACCATGCCCGGATAATTTTTGTATTTTTTATAGAGACAGGGTCTTACTATATTGCCCAGGCTGGTCTGGAACTCCTGGATTCAAACAATCTGCCCGCCTTGGCCTCCCAAAGTGCTGGGATTACAGAGATAAGCCACCATGCCTGGCCCTCTTTATTTTTATTTATTTATTTATTTATTTTATTATTATTATTTTAATTTCCTGGTTCCTAGAACTAACTTTGTCCTTTTTAAAGGTTGACAACAATTCTTGTACTTTAATCTTCCACTAAAAAGGATATCTATCAAGTCTCAAAAAATTCCAATTGGAATTTTTATTTGGATTATATCAACTTTATGTATTAGTCTGAGAAATTAACATCTTTATAACATTAATTCATCCTGTCCAAAAGGATAAAATATCTTTCCATTTGGGGCAGGGCACAGTGACTCATGCTTATAATCCCAGCATTTTGGGAGGCTGAGACAGGTAGATCACAAGGTCAGGAGTTTGAGACCAGCCTGGCCAATATGGAGAAACCCTGTCTCTGCTAAACACACACACACACACACACACACACACACACACACACACACAATAGCTGAAAGTGGTGGTGGGCACCTGTAGTCCCAGCTACTAGAGAGGCTGAGGTAGGAGAATTGCTTGAACACAGGAGGTGGAGGTTGCAGTGAGCCGAGATTGTGCCACTGCACTCCAGCCTGAGGGACAGTGTGAGACTCTGTCTCAAAAATAAAAAACGGTGGGGGGTGGGTCGATCTGGGATCTTGGGTCTGGTTAAATGGAGATATTCTTTTTTTTTTTTTTCTTGAGACGAAAAAAGGGTTCCTCTCCTGTCTCCCAGGCTAGAGTGCAACGATGCACTCTTGGCTTACTGCAACCTCCACCTCCCAGGCTCAGCCTCCCTAGTAGCTGGGATTACAGGCATGTGCCACCACACCCGGCTAAGTTTTGCATTTTTGGTAGAGATGGGGTTTCACCATGTTCGCCAGGCTGATCTAGAACTCCTGACCTCAAGTGATCTGCCCTCTTCGACCTCCCAAAGTGCTGGGATAGGTGTAAGCCACTGTGTCTGGCTTTAACCAGATCCCTTTCTATGTCCCTTACTAGCACTTTAAAGTTTACTTCATAGAAATATTCTATTTTTGTCTTAGAATATTTTATTCTTGTCTTAGTCCTATAAAGTTTTGTTGCTATTAAGAATAGTGTAAATTAACCTGCCATCATGTAATAAAATTAGAAGTTAACAACCAAAGGATATCTTTTTAAAATTTTGTGTGCTTGGAAACTGAAAATGTTACTAAGCACAAGGATTTTAAGTGATAATAGAAACATTACCTGTCAAAATCTTTTTTTAAATATTTTTTGTGTCTTGAGAAAATACACTACCTGCAAAAATCTATGAGATTTGCCTAATCATTTCTCAGAAAGCAATTTATAGCTTTAAATACATTTTTCAAAAACAAGAAACATGAAAATAAATTCCCCAGGTCTTTAAGTAATTTTGAGTTGAGCTCTCTGGAAGTTGCAGTCAAAAGCATCCTCACGATACTAGGCTTTCTGTTTTTACAAAGCTTGTCATCCCTCTCAATCTTAATTGATGTTTAAAGTCTATGAATTAGCTGAGCATGGTGGTGCACACCTGTGACTCCAGTTACTTGGGAGGCTGAAGCAGATGGATGGCTTGAGCCCAAGAGTTCGAGGTTATAGTGAGCCATGATCTGGCCACTGCACTCCCAGCTTGGGAGACAGAGTAACACCCCGTCTCTAAAAATAAATAAGAAAACAAGTCTTTGGATCATCTCTTATTCAACTACAGAGAATATCTGAGTACTTGGCCCATGTAAAAGAATATGTACTGAATTCTCTCCTGCTCAACTTTTATCAAAAATTCAACTGAAGGAAATATGCAAAGATATATCTTGAAGAACATACAGTTACCCTACTAAACCATCTCATTTATAATGATACTCTGGATTATTACAAAGTTGCCTGTGATATCTATTACTTTTTCTTCCTTCAGATTACTTTTTTTCCTAAGATGGAGTCTCACTCTGTCACAGACTGGAGTGCAGTGGTGTGATCTCAGCTCACTGCAATTTCCACTTCCTGGTTTAAGCAATTCTCTGCCTCAGCCTCCCAAGTAGCTGGGATTACAGGCACACACCATCACACCTGGCTAATTTTTGTATTTTAAGTAGGGATGAAGTTTCACCATGTTAGCCAGGATGGTCTCGAACTCCTGACCTCATGATTTGCCCACCTTGGCCTCCCAAAGTGCTGGGATTACAGGCGTGAGTCACCGAGCCTGGCCATAGATTAACTTTTTCTTTTTTTTCAAAGACAGGGTTTCACCATATTGGTCAGGCTTGTCTCAAACACCTGACCTCAGGTCATCCGACCACTTCAGTCTCCCAAAGTGCTGGGATTACAGATAGGAGCCACTGTGCCCGGCAGATTACCTTTTTTATTTACATTACACTGTTATACGTTTGGTTTACATAGACAAATGGTAGAAGAAACTACAGACAGAATCCACTACTGTGTGTACTCTGGATATTGTTAAAGATGCCCATGTGTAACCTTATGTCCACACATGAAAATCCACACAAATGTCTTATAGATCTAAATGACAGGAAGTTTCCATTCTCCTAACTGATTAACTTATCAATTAATGGAATGTGAAATTTTAACCAATCATGTTTCTCTTTTTACTTTGACTATCAAGTTGCTAAAAAAAAACTTGCAGCCCAAATTTAATAGCCATATAACACTTTATAACCTATAAATCTGCATGTGATCCCAGCTTTGAACCATTTGTTTTTAAAATTTCCATTTAGTATAAAGTCAGAAATTTTGTAAACCACTTTAATTTCTTTCTGGAATAATGTAGGAAACCACAGTAAATTAAAAATATGAAGAAAAATATTGATATTTTATGGAGCCCTTGAATTAGGCTGTAATCTCCACAAAATGCATCATTTTGTCTTCCAGTTTGGTAGGTTATATGTGACCATTTAGTTTCTCAGTTTTCAGAACAAGAATTTTTTTAAGCTTGAAAAATACGCTCTTTTTTTTTTTTTCTTTTTATTGTGAAACAGAGTCTCTATCTGTTGCCCAGGCTGGATTACAGTGGTATAATCACAGCTAACAGCAACCTCTGCCTCAGTCCCAAGCCATCCTCCCACCTCGCCTCCCAAGTAGCTGGAACCACAGGCTTATGCCACCATGGCCAGCTAATTTTCATATTTTTTGTAGAGACAGGTTTAATGCCTTGTTGCCCAGGCTGATCTCAGCCCCTGGGCTGAAGCAATCAGCTCGCCTAGGCCTCCCAAAGATTACAGGTGTGAGCCATTGCCCCTGGCCTGCCTATTTTATTTTCTTTGCCCTTTTTATGTTGTGCACATTTTCAAACACTTCTCTGCTCACATATACTGAGTGTCTTAACACAAAGTGATTTATGGTGAAATTACATTAGTGAATATATAAAGCCCTGTAGAGTATTTGAATACCATTTTTCAATAATATTTCACAGGAAAAGGGTAAAGCAGTTTCATAAAGCTTTCAAATATACAATAATACGTTCTCAATTCAAGTAGTAACAGCATGTCTTAGAATAAGTAAAATTATTATAGCCAAATATTTTTAAGACAAAAGTTTTGATACTTTATCTTTTTCATTTTTAATGGTATTTTTGAGTAAATTAGTGAGTTTGTAGATTATTCTCAGAGGAATGATTTCTGAAAAGCATAATATTTTACAGTTAAAAAACTAAACCATTAAAATTAAACCATTTTTCAGAACAATATAAATTCTTTTATCTGTTCATTGTTTAATCAAGTTTGTGTTAAGATTTTCTCTTCATTGTAGATTAGACAATGGGGCAGATTATTAGTTAAGCTACTAGATATGATCATTCATAAGATAAACTGGGGAGAACAAAAATATTATCCACAAACATGGCCCCGTCTGACAGGTCTGAGGCTCTGCAGATGCTATCAACTGGTTGAACAATAACATTTCAACATGAGGAACTTCTTGCAACCTTTGTTAACCATTAGGTCAGGAGTAACCAAAGGGCAGCTGGGGAAGGACAGCTGTTCCACACGGGACCCTCCTCCACCTTCACTGGACCACTCTTTTGCACACAGTAATCCTCCTTCTCAGGGTGCCAGAATGTTCTTTGTCTTTTTACGAATCAGATAATTTTGCTGGCTGCTGCTCTGAAGAGAATGGATTTGCCAAATCTGGTCAGATAAGTCAAATTGGAATTAATCCTCCTAGACAGGCACTTAATGGTGTTAGAGTGGGATTTAAAGGCTTAACATTGTGTAGTGTCTTTTTTGAAAGTACTGGACTTTTAGTGCTTTGTTTTGTTTTTAAATAAGTGTGAAAGGGAGGTTCTTCCACTGCTTAATAATCAACCAAATCGTCGGGGCATTTTGGTATCTCCTCCTGACTTCCTGGGTCCAAAATAGAGAAACTAGTTCCTTTCCTCTTTCCTCCTTTTCATTTTATTGGTCAATAAATCACAACCCTGCAGAAATCCTGGATATTTCTTGGTTTAATAGATTAATAGTCAGGTAGAAGGAGTATTTTACAGGCAGGAAGAAGAACAGCAAAGGCATATTCAGAGACGGGATGATCTGATGGGAAAACCATGTGGGTGGTGTGGGAAATAATAAAAAGACATATTTAGAAACCCTCCTGAAGGTTACTCAGGAAACAAATGGGGGAACTGTGAGAAAAATGGAAAGGAAGACTTTTCACCATATACCTAGGTGCTTTTTTGAGCCATGTGAATGTAAAATCTACTCTAAGAAAAATTAAAATTATTTAAAAAATATATTAAGATCCCAATTTGGAAGGCCTAAATGCTAAGGAGTTACGATGTTTTCTTTTCAGCAACACTGAATGACATTATTTACATGACATTTAAGAAAATAGAGTCTGGCATCAGAGGACCAGTTAGAGGGTGGTAGGAGGATCTAGTGCCTTTTTAGATACTTTTAAAGCAGAAACTTAGGTCAGGTGCAGAGGCTCATGCCTGTAATCCCAGCACTTTGGGAGACCAAGGTGGGTGGATTACCTGAGGTCAGGAGTTCGAGATCAGCCTGGCCAACATGGCAAAATCCTGTCTCTACTAAAAATTAAAAAATTAGCTGGGTGTGGTGGCAGGTGCCTGTAATCCCAGCTATTCGGGAGGCCGAGGCAGGAGAATTGCTTGAACCTAGAAGGCAGACGTTGTGGTGAGCCGAGATCATGCCACTGCACTCCAACCTCAGCAAGAAGACCAAAACTCCATCTCAAAAAAAAAAAAAAAAAGAAAGAAAATGCTTAAACTTTTGTTTTTAGCTCTTGTTAGTGGTTTCCACCCAGTAGGCTCTCATGGCATATTCATTGCTACCATGATTATTATTGCTGTAACTGAGGATTAATAGCGTTGATGACGGTGAGGACCATGAGGGTGCAATGATACCATTTGGTATAGTAGGGATTCAGGAAGCTTTTGGAATAATACATACGGACACAATGTTTGATGCCAACTCCTCAAAATCCCGTTTCCCCTCCTGGCAACCACTGTTCTAGTTCAGAATGCTGATCTTGTTGCTGATTTTCATTTCTTTCCCATGTAAAGATTCCTTTACACGGTGAGGTCACCCATGTTCTCCAGAGATCCGTCTCTTTCCCAGAATTCTATATTGAGTCCCAAAGGCTGTTCAGAGTAAAATTTCTCACTGTTTCCAAACCTCAACTCTCTTCGTCCCCATTTCATGATAGGCCAGCCCTGGCCCTCACTGCAATGAGCAGCCTGTCTGTCCTTCAAATGCAGTTGTTATAGTGATCCTTGCCCATCCTTTCTTCCATGTTTTTCATCTCAAAATTCTACTCAAACATCACCTTCACTCAAAAAACATTTAGGGCCAGGCGCAGTCGCTCACGCCTGTAATCCCAGCACTTTGGGAAGCCAAGGTGGGCAAATCACCTGGGGTCAAGAGTTCAAGACGAGCCTGTCCAAGATAGTGAAACCCCATCGCTACAAAAAATACAAAATTAGCCAGTGTGGTGGCGCGTGCCTGTAATCCCAACTACTTGGGAGGCTGAGGCAAGAGAATCGCTTGAACCCGGAAGGCAGAGGTTGCAGTGAGTCGAGATTGTGCCACTGCACTCCAGCCTGGGCAACAAGAGCAAAACTCCATCTCAAAAAAAAAAGAAAGAAAGAAAAGAAAAGAAACATGTACCTTTTTAACAATGAATAAAAAAGAGTTTTTGCCATTGTGAAACACACAGATTGTTGAACAATCTACTATGGTACAGAGGGCTGTTAAAAAAAAAAAAAAGGGTCTCAGCCTCCAATGGGGGCGTAGAGGATAAAGCATCAAAAAAAAAAAAATGCAAAAATCCTGTTATATTCAGAACTTCCCAGTTTAAAAATTACCTCTAATTTAACGCTCACAACAATTCTGTGGGGTGGATATTGTTCCAGTTCTTTTGTGTGTGTGTGTGTGTGTGTGTGTGTGCAGTATTTATTTCAAATGTTTGTTAAAATCGCATTGTTATTTCTCAGGACAAGAACAAAGATCACCCCTGGAGAAGCTTAGGAACTTTGTATAGAACTTTACAGAACAGAGGCAATACTTTAGCTTAAACCTGTCTGCTGACCAGAGAATGGAATTTTGCGTGGACTCAAGGAACAAAAGGAAACTAGGCAGGGATAAGGAAAAGGAAAGTGCCCATCTGAACCAAACTTCAGCTGCCATCCGGGCACATCTTGTGATGGTCACAGATTGTAGGCTGTTTTTTGGAAGATTCAGGTTCAGCACAGGATTCCATTTGTCTACTTGGCTACACCCTTGGCTGAGGTGCCATGAGGTCAATGTCACTCAAGTTCCTGGCCTGCCAAACTCCCACAGCAAAGAGTCCCAAATTGAGGATCAAGTTCCTCCGGAAGTCCTTCCTATCAGTGGCAAAGCGGTAGACGCCCCAAAGCCAATCTCCCACGTTGCCCGGTATTTCGGGGGTTTCCTTAGCAGAGCCGGCAGCGCTCACCGGGACCCCGCTGGAAGCCATAATAGAGTTTTTTTGTTGTTGTTGTTGTTTTGTTTTTTGAGACAGAGTTTTGCTCTTTTTACCCATGATGGAGTGCAATGGCATGATCTCAGCTCACTGCAACCTCCGGCTCCCAGGTTCAAGCGATTCTCCTACCTCAGCCTCCCGTGTAACTGGGATTATAGGCGCATGCCACCATGCCCCGCTAATTTTGTATTTTTAGTAGAAACGGGGTTTCACCATATTGGCCAGGCTGGTCTTAAACTCCTGACCTCAGAAGACCCACCCCGCCTCGGCCTCCCAAAGTGGTGGGATTACAGGCGTGAGCCACTGCGCCTGGCTCTGTTCCAATTCTTAACCAAAAGGGTTGAGATGAACATAACCACAATGTGGGTTCTGGAAGTGACAGACCGGGTTTTGATTTCTGGCTCCGCACTCACTGGGTGAGTCCTTGAGGAAGTGACTTACTTAACTTAAGGTTCTGTTCCCTCATATGAAATAGGGTACTAACAAGACATACCACACAAAATTGCCATGAGGATGGAATGAAAAGTACATAAAAGCTTTCCCCATGGAGTCCGCTAAACACTCTTGCTCTTTCCCTTCTTACTCCACAGCGTTTTCCTTGAAGCTGTCTCCAATTCACTCCTCTTGGATTCAGTCAGTCATGACCTGTCCCCTTCTTTCCAGCTAGCTTTATGATTATTTTCTGAATAGTGTGAATTTCTGCTTCTCTATCTCTGTGAAGTTACGTAGTCTGTAATTTTTTAAAATTATGTTTAAATCTGTTTTTATGGTGGTAAAATGTTATATATAACATACAATTTGCCATTTTAAATGTACAATTCAGTGGGATTAAATACATTCACAACATTGTGCAGCCATCACTGCTCCCTGTTTCCAAAACTTTTCCATCATCCTGAACAGAAACTCTCTACACATCAAGCAACAATGCCCATTTCCCTTTCCCACATTCCCTCGGTAATCTTTAATCTAGGTTCTGTCTCTGAACTTGCCTGTTCTAAAGTGCCTCATAAAAGTGGAATCATATGTACCCAAAATAATTGCTTTTTTTACAAATAGAAATCATAAAATATTCCTTTCATGTCTGGGCTCTTTTGTGTAGCATGTTTTTAAGGCTCATCTATGTTGTTGTGTGTATCAGAATTCCATTCCTTTTTATGGCTGAGTAATATCTATTGTACGGATAGACTTCATTTTGCTTAACCAGTCATCTGTCAATAGGTACTTGAGTTGTTTCATCTTTTGGCCATTGTGAATAATGCTAACATTAGTGTACAAGTATGTGTTTGAGTTCCTGTTTTCAATTCTTTTAAACACAGACCTAGGAGTGAAATTGCTGGCCATATGGTAACACTAAGTTTAACATTCTGAGGAACTGCCAAAATATAGGAGGCACCATTCATATTTCACCAGAAACATGTGAGGGTTTTAATTTCTCCACATCGTTACCATTTGTTATTTTCTGATTTTGTTTTGTTTGTTTTAGAATAGCCCATTCAACTGGGAATGATAGCAAGAGGAGTTTAAAAAGAAGCCCATTAGTCATTAGGGAATAACTCAAGTGAGTGTTTCTCATTTAGGTTTTGATCTGTATTTCCCTAATGTTGAGCATCTTTTCATGTGTTTATTGGCCTTTCATATATCTTCTTTGGAGAAATGCCTATTCAAGTCCTTTATCTATGTTTGAATTGAGTTTTTTTGTTGTTGTTGAGCTATAGGAGTTCCTTATATATTCTGGATACTAATCCCTGATCAGGTATGTGATTGGTAAATATTTTCTTCCATTATTTGGTTTTCTTCATCTCTTTATGGTATCTTTTGATGCACAAAAGTTCTTAATTTTGATGAAGTCTCATATCTATTTTTATCTTTTGTTGCCTGTGCTTTTGTTGACATACTTAAAAAACCATTGTCAAATTCAAGGTCATGAAGATTTTCCCTAGATTTTCTTCTAAGAGTTTTATAATTTATGTCTTAAATTTAGCTCTTTGGTTCATTTTGACTTAATTTCTGTAAATGGTATAATTAAGGGTCCAACTCCATTGTCTGCATGTGGCTATCCAGTTTTTCCAGCACCATTTGTTGACTAGGTGATCCTTTCCCCGTGGAATGGTCTTGTCTCTCTTGTCAAAAATTAACTGTTATGTTGCTTAACAACAGGGATACGTCCTGAGAAATGGTTATTAGGCAATTTCATCATTGTGGAAACATCACAGAGTGTACTTATACAAATCTGAATGGTATAGCCTCTTATACACCCAGCTTATACAGTATAGCTATTGCTTCTATGTTGCACACCTGCACAATTGTTACTCTACTGAATACTGTAGGCAACTGTAACACAGGTAAGCATTTGTGTATCTAAGCACATCTAGATGGGAACCTCTGATCTAGGTTCTGTCTCTGAACTTGCCTTTTCTAAGTAGCTCATAAAAGTAGACTCATATGTGCAGGAAATATGGTAAAGGTACCATAAAAATATGGTATAAAAGATAAAAATGGTACACCTATATAGGCCACTTACCATGAATGGAGCTTGCAGGATTGAAAATTGCTCTAAGGGAGTCAGTGAGTGAGTGGTGAGTGAATGTGAAGGCCTAGATATTACTTTACTGCAGATTTTATAAATGCTGTACACTTAGGCTACACTTCTATAAAATACATTTTTCTTTCTTCAACAAATTAACATTCGTTTATTGTAACTTTTAAATTTATAGCTATTTCCATTTTTTTAATGTTTTGATACTTTTGTAGTAACACAGCTTAAAACACAAACACATTTGCCAGCGTGGTGGCTTATGTCTGTAATCCCAGCATTTGGGAGGCTGAGGTGGGTGGATCATGAGGTCAGGAGTTTAAGACCAGCCTGGCCAACATGGTGAAACTCCTGTCTCTACTAAAGATACAAAAAATTCACTGGGCGTGGTGGCAGGTACCTGTAATCCCAGCTACTCAGGAGGCTGAGGCAGGAGAATCGCTTGAACCCAGGAGGCAGAGGTTGCAGTGAGCCAAGATCACATCATTGCACTCCAGCCTCTGCAACAGGGCAAGATTCTGTCTCAAAAAAAAAAAAAGAAAACACACACATTATACAAAAATAGTTTCAAAAACAGTTGTGCAGAGAGTTTTTTTAATATCCCTATTCTGTAAGCTTTTTTCTATTTTTAAAATTTTTGTTTTAACTTTTTACACTTTAAAAAACTAAGACAAAAATGCTTTCTTTATATTCTTATTCTGTAAGCTTTTCTCTCTTTTTAATCTTTTTATTTTTTTAACTTTTTAATGTTAAAAAAAAAAAACAAAACTAAGGCACACACATATTAGCCTAAGCCTACATAGGGTGAGGATCATCAATATCACTGTCTTCCTCTTCACATCCAGTCCTGCCAGAAGGTCTTCAGGGGCAACACACATGGAGCTGTCGTCTCCTATGATAAAAATGCCTTCTTCTGGAATACCTCTTGAAGGACCTGCCGAAGGCTGTTTTACAGTTTTGTTTTTTTTTTAATAAGCAGGAGTAAACTATAAAATAATAATTGAAAAGTATAATAAATATATAAATCAGTTGCACGGTTGTTTATTGGTGAGTACTATGCACTGTATATAATTGTATGTGCTATACCTTTATGACTGGCAGCACTGTAGGTGTGTTTACTTATACCAGCATTACCACAAACACGTGAGTAATGTCATGACATTGTGACATCACTAGGCAATAGGAATTTTTCAGCTCCATTACTTTATTATTATTATTGAGATGAAGTTTTGCTCTTGTTGCTTAGGCTGGAGTGCAATGGCACAATCTTGGCTGACTGCAACCTTGGCCTCCCGAGTTCAAATGATTCTCCTGTCTCAGCCTCTTGAGTAGCTGGGATTACAGGCACCTGGTACAACACCTGGCTAGTTTTTGGTATTTTTAGTAGAGACAAGGTTTCACCATGTTGGCCAGGCTGGTCTTGAACTCCTGACCTCAGGTGATCTGCCCACCTCAGCTTCCCAAAGTGCTGGGATTATAGGTGTGAGCCACCGCACCTGACCCAGCCCCATTATCTTATAGGACCACTGTTGTACATGCAGTTCATCATTGACCAAAGTGTCATCATATGATGCATGCCTGTATATGTGAGTATTTATTTCTAGACACACCATTCTATTCCTTTGGTCTATATGTCTCTCTCCATGCCAGCACCACTCTATTTTGATTACTGTAGCTTTGTAGTAAGTTTTGACATTGGGAAGTGCGAATCTCCCGACTTGTTCTTTTTCAAGATTGTTTTGGTAGTCATCATTTTTATGCAGATGGATTGAGTATGTGGTGGATACATTCAAGAGAAAAAGGGGAAACTCAACACTCAGATTATCTCACAGTTCTCCACCTCTGGCAAGATCCCACTCAATGTGTTTGGTCAGATTGGTCCACCCTGCAATCTTAGCAGTGTATTGCTGCTTGTGGTCAAATTACAGCTAAATGGACATGGCATATGGCACTGTAATTAAGGGATGTATGAAAACTCCAACAGGGTACAGTATTGAAAACAGCAATGCACTAAGGGACCAGCATCAGAATTCTAGTCCTGACTCTACACTTAATAGCAGTGGGCCTTAACAATTCTCTTAGCTTTCTAAGGCTCTGTTTACTCATGCTTTTATTTTCATTGATCTGTAAAATGGGGATTATACTATCTGCTCTGCCTACCTCACAGAGATATATTGAGGCTCAAGTGACATAAAGTGTATGAACAGGTTTTAGTGTACTGTGAAGCACTCTAACACAGAAGCTATTATCGTTCACGCAACTATTGATCATCAATCCCAAGGGCTATCAAGCGTCTGGTCAGGTCTCTGATAACTGTTAAGTGGAAATTTCTGGTCATAAAAGTTCACAGATACTCCAAGGTTCATCAGTAAGAGTTTGTCTGGTTTTAGTTGACAGCTTCTTAACCCATCGCACTTCATGTCAACAACCAAGAAGTAGTGCTCTAAAATACACTGTTTAAATCCGTCTATTTCACACGGCCAAGGGTGAGGACCTCGTGAGAAGCCTGGAAGCCTGTGAGAGATGAAACTCACAGGCATCTGGGAAAGCCTCTCATTCTATCTTCCAAACCTGAAAGGAAATATACTATTGCTGATTCATTTATGAGAGTGCCTTTGGCTGGTGAAATAGCAAGGGCTAGTCACAACAGGAGGGCTTTTTAAAAAAAAAACAAAACAAGCGAAAACAACAAAAGCCCTCCCCATTAGCTGTTGGTTTCACTTATAAGCAATTGCCAGGACTCTGGCAGCAGTCGTTTTGGGGCCCTCTTGACAGGATTCACACACAATCCACAGAAGGTAGAAAGAAATCTCTTCATCTCTGCATGTTAATTAAGGAGGACAGATGGCCCTGTGATTATTCAACCATATGTAGGTCAAGACTAAATGAATTAATAAGCAACTTAATTCACAGCCGCCTCCAAGAGCTTCTGAGGCATCTATGAACAAACAATTGCCATAGTATCCTGGGAAACAGGAGATGCGGGCAGGGAGAGAGATTACATTTCCCTCATTGCACACTAAGTTCCTCAGCCTAGGAAAGGACATCTTAGTCTCTCTACCACACATTGTCTTCCATGCAATATTTGGGATGTTAAAATGAGTCAAAATTTATCTTTGTTATCCAGGTATATATTGTATAACTGCAGCCACGGGGTCTCTTTTGTAAAAAGTTAAGCTTAATTGATTACTTTAGGACTGAAAAGCAAAGAAAGTAGAGCCTAGAGCCATAAAGAGAAATGTAACAAGATGAGCAGCACAAGCTGGGGCCAAAGGAGGAGTCAGAAAAAAAGTTCTGAAAAGGCTCAGAGGAGCAAGAAACTGCTGTTGCTGGAACTGCCAGAGCTAGAGCTCGATCTGGGCCTGAAGAGCCAACTGGGGAGAAAAGGGGATCATTACTGTTTTGAGTACAAAAGGTAGGAAACTGTGCAAGGCATGCAAGGGGCAGTAATCAAACCAGTGTCAGCAGAGGCGACAGATGATGCAAGAGCAATGTGAGGGATCAGCTGGCACAGGTGATCGGCAGCAAGGAGAGCCCTGGATGGCAGCAGTGCTGGTTGCTTTCAGGAGAAACCAGTCTGTCCTCCTCCAAGTGTTCCTGCCAGAGTGCACAGAATAGAAATTTAAAACCCGTCAGGCATTTGTATTGGAAAAAGTATTTCTTCCCTCCTCCTCGCTGCTCCCAACTCTTCCCCACGTGTGAGGGATTGATGAAACTGGCAGACGAACGGAGCTGTCCTGCTCACCTCCTCTATCCCTTTCTCTTACTGGGTGTAACTCCCTGTGGAACTGATTGATTTTCCCTCATCTCTTCCTCCTCTTCTAAGTGTTAAGCTGGCTGCCTCTAAGGAGAGGCCTGCATTTGTCCAGCTGTCTCTGGATGGCAAGTTTAATTATCTGAGCAAAGGCCTAGGTTAAACCCAGTTGTCAAATACAGCATTAGCGGTAGTGATGGCTATTTTGCTCCCTGTCTGAGTCCTGGGTATATCTGATTTGTTGCAGCACACTGAAAGGAAACAAAGGGGGCATAATTTATTACCTCCTGCTTAAAATCCCAACACCCGCAAGTCCAGAAGGGATGTACATAGATACTGCACTATTGGTCTTTATAACAAAACCAAATGCTTTTGCACCACACATTGTCTTCTATATGGCATTTGAGCTGTTAAGACCAGTAAACAGCAATACATATTATTTTCTCAGCCTTGTAAAGTTTAGGAATTTTTTTTTGAGATGGAGTTTCGTTCTTATTACCCAGGCTGGAAGTTTAGGAACTTTCTAAAAAAAAATTCTTTTAAAAAATATGCATATAATACAAAATTCAAAAGGTGATGGGATAAAAATTCTCTCTCTCATATAACTCTTTCCACAGGCAGTCATTATTATTGCTTTGTTATTTATCCTTGTAAGGATATCCTTCCTTTGTATACAGTATGAACATATTTGTGTATTTTTTAACAAAAAAGTAGAATTCTAGAAAAAATGCTGTGTTCCTTGCTCTTTTTAGTTAATATATCTTACAGATTACTCATTAAGGAATATTTCATTCTTTCTTTCTTTTTTTTCCTTCCTTTCTTTTTTTTAATAGAGACGGGGGTTTCACCATGTTGGCCAGGATGGTCTCGATCTCTTGACCTCGTGATCCACCCGCCTCAACCTCCCAAAGTGCTGGGATTACATGCGTGAGCCACCTTGCCCGGCCAGGAATATTCCATTCTTTCTTATCTACTGTTGAGCTGTCATATTTCATGGAATTCCATTATATGGCTATACAATTAAGATTAACCACTCTTGGCAGGGTACAGTGGCTCACGTCTGTAATCCCAGCACTTCCAGAGGCTGAGACAGGAGGATCACCTGAGGTCAGGAGTTCGAGACCAGCCTGGCCAACATGACAAAACCCCATCTCTACTAAAAATACAAAATTAGCTGGGTGTGGTGGTGGTGGCAGGCACCTGTAATCCCAGCTACTTGGGAGGCTGAGGCAGGAGAATCACTTGAATCTGGGAAGTGGAGGTTGCAGTGAGCCGAGATTGCGCCATTGTACTCCAGCCTGGGCGACAGAGCGAGACTCTGTCTCAAAGAAAAAAAATTAATCACTCTTATTGACAAATACTCAAGTTGTTTATAATCTCATGCTATTTAAAGTAATGACTATATGAGTCACAGGTGCAAAGATTTATTTGCAGGGTAAATTCCTAGAAATGGAATTGCTAGCTCCAAATGACAAATGTACTTAAAATTTTGAAAGATATTGCTAAATTTTTAAGGTTTTGTACCAATTTATACTCCTACAACATTGGCTACTGTTTTTCAAAACATGGTTCTCTAGTGACTTTCTCTGATCCCTTCCTAAATATAAAAACTCTAACACGAAATCTGAATTTTAAGGTGGCTCATGAAGGAATAGAAAGGTCAGGCAATGCCAGGTATTATTTTAACTGTATCTGCCCTGTGTAGCATGCATGAACTTTTGCAGTTCCACAGCGTTCCCCATCTTCTGCTCCAGCCATGCCTGCTAGTGTTCATCCGCTGTTTCAGCAGGTACACACTGTAATCAGAGGTATTAGATAAAGAAATTGCTAACTTAATGTCTTGATTTCTCCCAGGAATTTAAAAGAATTAAAGGAAACAAGCACAGGTGATAGTTGACCTGGTTAATTCTGGTACCACTTTGGATCTACTTAAAATAGGAGTCACGTGGAACACAAGGAAGAGGTGCATAAAGCATGTGCTGCAATTTAGTGTACATATAAAATAATTACACCCACTTAAAAGCAATCCTTTGAGTGCCTTTGAAATATGAGAGTTATTTTCATTCCATGGTAGTTAGAACCAAGGCAAGTTAAAGCAAACGTATGCTTTCTTCTCACTCTTCCTTTACGTACAGCCTCGCCAGCCTTTCCGAGTGTCCTCCAAAATAGGGTCCCTTCCAGTATCATTTGCCAGGTAACAGAGCTTTTTCTCTTGGCTCAACTACATGTTCTAAAATTATCCTTTCTCTCCCAAATAAGTTCTTTCCCCTCTGTACCTAATTTTTTTATCTACTCTCAGAAATATGGGCTCTGATGAATTAATTTTCACCTGAGTGACTAATTTTTCCTTCCTAGAAGTACTTAAGATTTTTAATAGCAAGACAGATTAGTGCCAGGTAGCACCTCACATGTATTTTCATTTAATGTATTGAAGCAGAATAAGGACCAATGAGTTAACCTAGCTTGCCCAGCCCTACAGCAAAAACATAGTCTGGATGCAGTTGCTTACTCCAAAGCATGCACTTTCCCCCTCTTGTCAGTGCATTTACACGTTTTTGTTTGAAAACCCCCCAAAACAATTTTCATAAACTATGTATCTCTCAGATGGCTTTAAGTTGCCATCTAAATTTTTCATCATTTTAAATAGTTGCAAAGGCCATAATTTCCAACATATTATAAATTTCATTTTGACTGAATCCAGTGAAATCCAGATATAACATTTGGATCTATTTTTAAAAGTATATGAAAAAGTTATTCTTTAACATTTAGAAAGCTTACATCTTTCCTTTTCCTCCTTGAGCTTGTATTTCTATCCCATTTTTTCCAGATTTTTATCCTAATGCTTTTAAGTTTGAAACTATTATTGACTACCAGATATATGTATGTATTACAACAATAATAAGTACATAATTTAAAATTGTATTTATTTTACTCTAAGTGGTCCTGGCTGATAAAAGTTTTTCTTCTTGAGTTACTACAAATATTAATACAGAATTGATTGAGACAACAAAAATATATATACGTGTTTTAGTGATTATTAAACATAAGTAGTAAATGTGTTATTATCACTTAAGATAATATTAGCTACTGTACCAGATAAAGTATACAATCTTGTGGCTTAATATAATTAAAAGCTATTTCTTGCTTTAATATAGAGTCCCCAAAAGGACTAGGTGGTGATTTAGGGACACTTCTCAGGACTCTGTTGTTTTCAACATATGGCTTCTGTATAGCTGAAGAAGAAAACAATGAGCATGAAGAGGGCAGGTGGCCAGGTGTAGAAGTGGAGCCCCTTACTTCATCTGCTTTCCAATAACCAGAACTGATTATATTGGCAAACCTGAAAGAGCAGGAGGACAGGAATGCAGTCTAGCATTCTAGAAATGGACTGCGTAAACAGCTCGACAATCTTGGCCACAGATTTCCTGGAAATGCATGTCTTGAGAAAAATCATGATTCAACTTTTAAAATAAATCTAATGAAACAGAATGTTTTAGTCTACTAAAAACAAATTTAGCAGCTATTTTAAAAATAATATATTTTGTAAATAGAATTAAAAATTTTGAAGATTTTAGAAGATGAGGACTCATATGAATTGTAATGCATGTTTTATGTGATTTGATAAAAATGTGTTTTAATTCCCTCATTGAATAATACACTGTACACTAGCCACAATATACAAAGCTTTACCCATAAAGAAATATTTATAAAGAATAGAAACTGGCCGGGCGCGGTGGCTCACGCCTATAATCCCAGCACTTTGGGAGGCTGAGGCGGGTGGATCATGAGGTCAAGAGATCGAGACCATCCTTGTCAACAAGGTGAAACCCCGTCTCTAGTAAAAATACAAGAATTAGCTGGTCATGGTGGTGCGTGCCTGTAGTCCCAGCTACTCGGGAGGCTGAGGCAGGAGAGTTGCTTGAACCCAGAAGGCGGAGGTTGCGGTGAGCCGAGATCATGCCATTGCACTCCAGTCTGGGTAACAACAGTGAAACTCCATCTCAAAAAAAAAAAAGAATAGAAATTTAGCAAGTCTTGCAGGTTTATGATACCTCAATGAATTATGAAGATTTCACCTATGTGTGGCCCATGACAGCTTGCATGTATCTACAACAGTATTTGGGATAGGTCAGACAATGCTTTTCTTTTATCAAGTGGAGAAAAAAAACTTGTGTAC